CCCCGCCGCGCCCCCGGCCCGCCTGCCGCTGAAGGGGGGGGTTCATGAACTGCTGTCAGCACGGAGCAGTTTAATGGCCGGGAGGGTCAGGCTGGGTTCTGTGCTTGGGTGCAGAGGGGCTCCGTGCCCTGCCCGGCTCCATGCCCTGCCCGGCTCCATGCCTTGCCCACCCTTTGCTTCATTGTATTTCCAGTGCGGTCCGTGCACCCCTGGGTGAAGCCCTGTGCCAGGCAGATCCCTGCAGGGCTGGGTGTGGGCCCGGCTGCTGCTCCGTGCAGTGCCCACAGCCCTGCTGGGCGGGCACCCCAGAGGGATCAGGGATGCCGAGACGCTGCTGGTGTGTCGCTGTGTGCTGCGGCGCGCACGTGAAACACGGGTTGCTTCCACCCCGGCTGACCCTGCCGGAGTTCTGTTTGCACGTGGAAGAACAGCTGTGGTTTTCTTTTTCCCGTTTCAGACGGAAAAGGCGTAACTTCAGTAAACAAGCCACAGAAATTTTGAACGAGTATTTTTACTCCCACCTCAGTAACCCCTACCCCAGTGAAGAAGCCAAAGAAGAGCTGGCAAAGAAATGCAGCATCACAGTATCGCAGGTAAGCAGCGGGTGGGCGCGGGTCCCGGCCCCCCGCGCCGTGCGTCCCCCTCCCCACTCCCCTTGCGGCACTGGCATCCGCCTCCGGGCTCTGGGATGTGCTTCCAACGGAGGTGTGCGATGCGGAGAAGGTCCCTGCCCAATGCACCTGTGTAATCCCTTCACATTTGGGTTACTGACCACGACAGTGTTCAGCAGCGTGATGGAACGGGGCTGAGCGCGGCAGGAGGGGCAGCGTGCCCGCGGCGGGCCACGTGGTGCTGGGGTGGGAGGAGTGCGCGTGCAGAGATAGAAATAAAAAGGCTACAAGGTCAGCAAGGTTCCGTGCTGAGCCCTGCTGCCCGCTGTGCACTCCTTACAACTTGCTGTTATTTCAGGGGAAGCCAGTTTATTGACAAACATATAATCTATCTCTATAGATCAGAATTTCTTTGATTGCTTGGAGTTGTTTTTCTAAGCCAGCCAGAAATTCAACCTCTCGATCCGTGGAAGTGACAGGAGTGGTTTCTCTGTGGCAAAAAGGAATTAGGCAGATTTGCTCCTTTTATCACACATAACAGACGTTGCTGTGAGGTTAATGCAAGGAAAACCAGCATCTCCCTCATCAGAAGCGTGCGCCGTCCTTGGCTGCGGATGCTTTCGGCATGGACCGAAGTACATTTACAGCTCTGGACTGGTGTCTCGCAGCGATGTTCCGGCCGATGACACTGCTCCATCGAGCTTCCCGTCACCTTTCCGTCACCCAAAAAAAAAAAGCAAAACACCACTTTGCATTTCTTGTGTCCTGTACGTTCCGTAGAAAACCAAATTATTCCCACAGCAAATCTGGCTCGTCCAGCTTGGGAAGGGTTGCAGTGGGGGGCAGGGAAGGCTCCCCAGCAGTTTCCAAGTTCTCCAGCCGCCCCATTGCGAGGGCCAGTGTGCCATCTCCTCCCGGCTCCATCAGCTCCGCTTATCAATATTTCAGGTCCTTTAGAGGAACAATGCCTGCGGCGAACGTGTTAACTATTAATGATTGCAGGCTGCAGTATTGGCATTATTAGCAGTGCAACCTTTAGCTTGATAATTAAGACCTGAGTTGAGATTTACTTTATAGGCCTCCCTTGAATGCATGAAAAATTCAGGTGCTTTATTGAAGACTCTCAAATGAAAGGCCACCCCACTCCCCAAATCTGATCCTACCTAATTGACCTTGGCTGCACCCTCGGTACAAGCCCTGGCGAAACTGCCCGGTGCCGAGGGAGGCCCGTGGAGGGGGACATGTGCCCTGCCCTTTCCTTGCTCATTCCTTGGCATGCAGCATGTACTGCGCTCCAAGTGGGGTGGGAAGTGCATGTGTGCCTGGTGCCAGGGGAAGGTAAGGGATGGAGATGGGGACAGTTTCTCCCAGTCCACTTATGAGCAGCTGTGGTGATGGGCAGGAATTTTTTGGGGGGAAATTCAGCACCAAACTCGTTCCCTCTCACATTGCTCCTTCATCAGTGTTAGCATCACACGAGGGACGGCAG